TTGATTTCTGTGCAGTGATTTTCTTTTGCGTGACATCAGATTTCATAGGTTTCGCACTTGGTTTCTTATTCTTATCTCCAGCAGCACCCTTCTGCTGAAGGACATTTGCTTTCGACACTGCACTTTTTGATTTTGATTGAGTTGTTGATTCCACCTTTGGTGTTGTCCGAGCAGCAGCAAGGCGATCAATTGTAGAACTTCTGAAAACCGTCTTCTTACCATCTTGGCTTGAACTTGGAGACTGTATTTTGGGCTTCCTGTCTTTTGATGTTCCAGTAGGGTTTCTCCTAGATGCTGTCAATGGACTGCTACTGCTGGCAGAACCCCTCGCTGCAATTCTCTTCTGACGTTCGAGCTTTAATGCCTCCGCTCTTTTCCTACTCTCTTCTTCCTGCTTATGAGCAGACAAAAAGAATTGTCAGAAAGATGCACAAGGTGATCATATTGGGATACAGTTCCATTTTCAATTCTCGTGTTTCAAATAATTCTCACAACTAGGAAAAATGAAATGTATTTTTATAATAAGTGAGCATGCGTCCTTAAGGAAATAAAATTATAAAATTGGAAAATGCATTCCATTTCCTAGAGTTCCTAGGCTATCCAAACTTGTTATAATTACGATAATAAAGCAAACAGAACGCAGTAGCTTCATCTTCACTTACCCTCTCGGATTTGCTCTTTGGAATAGTGGTTCTGCTTCCAAGAGGTGGTTTCTTAGTCCTTGATGGAATTTCCGATTTGCTTCTTCCAAGAGGTCCATTGGAAACTTTTGACTTACCATTAGTCTTCTTACTGACAGGAACAACTTCATCCTCAGTAGCACTTTTCTCCACAGGGGATCTCTTTCTGTTGGCTTCTGCAGATAAAATGTCATTTTGATAATCTATCTCCGGGGTCCAAGAAGGGATGGTATGCTGATCAGCTGCCGAATCACGCCCAAGCACCATAAAAAGGTCATCTGGCTCACAGGAATTACTAAATCCTTTAGCTTTATCTAGAGTACCATTATCACATTGAGCAACTTCAGACACATCTCCCACCATACTTATGTCGGTTCTTAATACAGAATCAGAAGCTTCATTTCCGAAGGATCGGGCTTGGATCATAAATGAATCATCAGCCATAACATCCTTGTTATTGTTTTTCTCATCTCGAAAATGATCACCATCAAACAGGCTGATGTCCCCACTGCCATTCTTGTTGACTGATTTGTCAATCTGGTTTCCAACAAGCCAATCTCCTTCTTTCTGAACTTTGATTAATCGTGATTCGGAAGAGTAATCAGAAACTGCAGCTTGCAAGTGGATATTCTCTGATTTATCTTTTCTTTGAGAAAATAACAGCTCATCATACGAGTCATCCCCCTTCTTGAGCAATAAGCCACGACCATTTGCACCACCTTCAAAGTTCCGTATCTGAGATTGAACATCACTTGCAGTATACCTGTTTGTACTCATAAAGGAATCATCAGCCAGCATTCCCTGCTTCCTTACATTCTCAGATTCCATGTTAAATTCCGATGAGTCTGCATCATTGTCCTTCAAGAGAAGGCTCTGGAAGGCACCCCACTGGTCCTTTCCTTGCCCATCTAGATTCTTTGCGTTCATGTTGGTGTTTTCTTGATCAGAGGCATTATTGTTATGTTGTGATTTCTTTTGGCGACGTGAAGAAGTTGACTTACTTCGTCTCTCCAAAGAACCTACAGCATCTTCCACCTGCTGCTTCAGAGCTTCTCCATCAATGAACTCCTCATCTTCATCACCAGATGTTTCCCCAGTACTCTTTTCCCCATCTCTCTTGGACGTAATGTAGTTAATGTTACGGATGACAACTGTTCTTCTTGAAGACTTCTTCTTGCCATGCTTTTTTCTACGGACATTCTCATCCGAGGACAACTGTCTACCATTGTGCTCGTTTTCATCTGAATCGTTGTTCGAGCTAGAACCAGTGCCAGGGGAGTCATCTTCTCTGTTTGAATCTGCACGTGAAGAAGACTTCTTCCTGTTCCTCGAAGATGAAAAGTTGGAGTCATCTGCAGTTGGAGGCCATTGCATGTTCCCTGGAAAATATGGAGATGGAAACTGTGCACCAGGGAAACCGTAGCCTTGATATGGACCCATCTGCTGGTAGACTGGTCCTTGGAAATTGTGCATGTAGTGAGGATGTTGATTTGGCCAAGGCACTGGCACTTGACCCCTGCCATCTGCTGATGGTGGCAAACTACTATCTGCAACAATCGATTGGTCAACAGTAAATTTGAATTAGCCACAGCAAAAGTACTTCCCACTGACCAAAGCGTAATCCTCTTATCTTAAACAGAATTTTTCTACCTTGGCTGAGGTCAACACTTCCTAGACTAGTTGCCGTCTCAGATGCATCATTTGAGCCATTGAGTCTCCCACCGGACAACTGGCCGCCAGGGTAGCTTTCCTCTCCTGCAAGTATAATTCCGGAACTTCTTAGAGAAGGCAACTCCAGCTGAGCGGCTTGCATAGCCACAACTTCGTCCATCCAAAGTCGATCTTGATTCTTCTTCTTGCATAACTCCATGAAGTTTATGCATGCTTCCCTGAAAGGGTGAATATTGTCTGTTTATGTGAAATCATTGTCTCTAAATTCTAGAAACATTATGAAACCAAGGTATTGAAGGTTAACGTTAGAGGCCAAATGCACGCAAAGACTGCAGAAAACATACCTTAACCGTGAAGCTCCAAAAGCATCAGCAAAAGATATAAGATCATAAATACAGTCAAGCTCGAATCCTGTGACCAAAGCACGAGCATAGGCCATTGCTTGCTCTTTGCGTATGATAGATTTCCTAGATTCCAAAGCACGCTGAAGATGCACTCTGTTAATAGACCACAAGTTGAACAGTCAGATGACAAGGTTGATTTCATTGCATATATTATTTCAGAAGATTGCAAGTTCAAATGACTAACTTTGAATTTTCCTCTGATGCAGCATCACCAGCTCCATTCTGAAATACGAAATATCAGTGGCGTAAAGTTTATAGATATGAAGACTTAGCAAACCATTATCAAGCAATTCCCTAACCCTTTGGATTAACACTGATGACGTACCTTAGACGAGGCAGTTGGCTTGTAATTTCCTACAATGCCAAATAGGTTCAAGTAAGCAACTTTCATTCAAGTGACCAAAATCTAGAGACAAACAAAGTAAACTTGGTTCATATTCCACAATGTCCAGTTTATGTCAGTGCAATCAACATCTAGTTAGTATCAGCACATTGACATCAAAGTTTTTTTAGTTTGTTTCATTCAAATTCGCTACTCACCATCTGCATCAATATTGGAGAGCTCATTGGACTGAACTGAACTCTCAATCTGGTCAAGTTCCCTTTCAATAGTCACGAATCTCTCAAGAACTTCTGGGGTGTTCACAAACCGAACGAATCTGTTTGGCACCATTGCAGAATACAAATCAATCACCACGCGACAAAAGCACACAAGATCACTAGATTCATAACAGTACTAATTTCCAGCCCAGGGGAAACAAGACAAAATCTACGGTCCTTATCAGAATCTTAGGAAAAGGAAATCAGTTTGGACAGACTAAGATTCCGACTGAGAACTCTATAGACTTGCTCGGGAAACGGTTCCAAATAGGCTTTTGAGGAATTGGGCATATAACAGAATGAAAGCAAAGCTCACCTCTGCAGAGTTGCCTTAGTGAACCAGGACGAATTGGGGGAGGAAGAAGGACGGAGAATAATGGAGTAGCCTCCTTTAGAAATCTGATCTCTGGCTGTTTTCAAGTGACAGACGAATGGCTCCAGAAGCCCAGATGCCAATTTCTCGCTCCCGCCGCCACCGGCGACAGCAAATATCACCAAATCACATCTGAATCAAAACCAGGAGGAGTAAAAGTCGGAAACTTTTTAACTACCCAGATGAGAAAATAACCGCAGAAGAGTGGGATTGGATTCTAAAGGAACAATAATGTACCTGGTTCTTGTTGGAGTGAGCTGGAACAGAGCGTGATCAAGCAGAGTTCTGGGATCCATTTGTTGCCTCCTTTCCGGGGAAGAAAAAACAGAGGAAGATCGGGGTTTCAAAGTGACAGTGTAATGCGGTTAGGGACGGCGGATTTACAGTTCAGGCAGAAGAAGGAGGCAAGAGAGTGAGAGAATGTGTGGCACATGGAAACAGGGGAAGAAGAAAGATGAGGAGAGAGAGAGAGAGAGAGAGAGAGAGAGAGAGAGAGAGCGCGAGAACGAGAGGAAGAGTGGTGAGTTTTCTTTTCGTTTCGCTGCTGCTGATCACTGTTCTGGTGAAACGAAAGCCGGGGGTTCGATTTGGGAGGAAACGGGTCCCATGTGAAATTGCCCGGCCGACAAGCTGATTCAGAGCGATCAGTGAGCTTTCTATCTCTATCTCTGCTACTTGCACAGAACCTGTGAATGAAGCGAAGAAACTGACAAGTGTACAACGGAAGCAAGAATAAAACCAATCTAAGGTGGGAAGTTCTAACGTGAACCTTTTCTTTTCCATTTCCATTCTTCTCCTCTGCTGTTTCAACAAGAAAAGGTTTGGCTGTTATACATCTAAAGCCCACTTGAAGCCAAATCATCCATCATTACGAGGTGCATTATGGAAGGAAAAAAAATGTACCATCCATAATGATAGAGACCCAACACCCTCTCTCTCTGATCCAACTTATCATTTCGTCAAACTCGCATGATTTGGTTGTAACTATAAATTTGGTTGTAACTAACCTTTTCCAGCAGATTTATAGAGGATTGCTTAAGATTGCCTACTGAGGTAAAATCCTAGCCAAAAAAGAAACTTGGCTTGGGAAGGCGAAAAGTAGTGGGAAAGGACTACCTTGGAGGTAAAGAATTTCCACCTTTACTTAAGGTAAAAGTTCGGATCAATTACAGGAATGGTCCCTGGACTTTGTAATTACAAACAACGAGTATCTTAAACTTTGATTTCTAACGAGCTTGCCACTAAGATAGTAAAATCTGGAAATATCCAACATATAATGATCGCCTCATTCAGCTCTTCATCCAGGTTTTCCATATGAATGTACCAACTTACATTAATTAGTAAAAAATGTTACAGAGCCCTATTAACTAACATGAACGACTCATAAGTACATGCTTAAACACCAAATTGTCTGAAAAAACAGAAGAGAAAACTACCACTTTGGGCACAACTGATCGATCTTTGCCCATGGCAATTGGCATCATGGCTGCCGCAATACATGCAACCAGAGAACATGACTAGTACTAGCTATCAGTCCTGACATCATTCGACAACAATGCAACCATTACCGCGCTTTCTAATCATCAATCATCTCAACCTGAACCTGAACCAACTTTCAAGATCTAGAGCAGGGACATTCAGCTTCGGGAGATATTCATCTAAATAACCAAAGACAATAGTTCATACATGCTTAAGCATTGAAGGAACATAAAAATACTGAAAAACACAAGTCAAACTAAACAATTCTAAGTTCTGCACCTACGTTCTCAAGAAGCTTCTGCATCATCCAATATACTTGATTACTATACCAGTTTCGACAACATTTGACGTCAGCATCGCTTTTCAATCAGCAAGCAACTCGAACTTAACAAACTTTTCTTCTGTATTCGAAGAGCCTTCGAGAAAATAGCGAATCACTTGATAAGGTATGTTTGGTGGGTGTCGTTGATGTGCACATTGTATCGTCAAGGTCTTCAATCTATTAAAGGGAGAAGCTTCATGCTCGACTAATGCCTTAATTCTGTTAAGAGGAAAGGGTTGCTCTTCCCAATCATTCTTCCATCTCTGTTCCTGATATGGAAACACAATAACATATCAATAAAAAAACTATGTGCATTGACAAATTAAGGCTTGCAAGATCTTGAATAAAACCAACAATTTACATAACTTGCTATCATCATATCCCTCCTGACATTTGCAATGGTGAAAGTATGAATAAGTATGGCTTCTAAAAGAACAGGGAATTCTTACCTTGTCGAAACATAGCTTGAGAGATTCTACATTATGCAGACCACACAAGTAATTCACAAATGCAGAATTCTGCTCAATGAAAACTGGATCATCATCCTCCCAACGTTCTGGTTCCCACTTGAGGCGGATATTTGCATGATCCAGGCTGGGGAGATCCAACTTGGGTAGATATTCATCAATGTATTCACCCCACAACCGTAAAGATTTGAGCTTTGGGGCAATCAGTTCATAAAAGCGGTAGTGATTTGTAAACTCAACTTCAAGATCAAGCAGTTGAGGTCCAGATATTAGTAACCAACAGTCAGGATCTGCTATAAAGCAGCGGATTAACTTCAGGTACTTCAAACAAGGTAGATCGCCGATCAAATCAAAGGGCAGAATTGGACAATAAGGTGACAGAGGGCATTCACGCAGTTCCAGAGTTGTAAGCAACTTGAAGCCCAGCGTCGTACACGATTTGAAGCCCACGTCGTCACATTGGATACACCACAAAGTGCATCCCTCCAACTTCATAGATTTGAGAGGTGCGCGATGATTACCAGCAGTGATGTTCTCATCAAAGTAGCTGAAGCACAGATTCTGGTCCTCGCCGATAATGGACAAATGATCAAGACCACCACCACCATGTGAAGCAGCATATCTCATGATCTGTTCAATTGTTCTCGTTATATGCCCCGGTGTTTCATCCCTTTTGTATCCACGTACGTCGAAGATAACTTTGCGCACAGGAGTACGGTGGGAGCGGAGAGACAGGAGCCTGTATACATGTTTTCTGAAACTCGCCAGTTTACAGAAGGATTTTGGGAGGAAATTGAGGACCAGGACATCTTTCCACAAACATCTCCATCTCCTTGACAGAATGCTGGTTCCAACTGCAGACTTGGTGTCGAGGAAGGACAGAATGTAATGGAGAATTTCGTCAGGGAAATCGCTCAGTGTAGCAACTTCTTTAACTACATGGCTCCTCTTTGGTCTCTTGGACTTCCTTGAACTCCCAGCCATTGTCTTCCTCCCTTCACCAAAACAATTGAAATTATGAGAGATTCAAAGTGTACTTAGTTTAAAGCAGAGAGTGGAGACTGGCTACGTGTGAATCGTCGGAATCAAACACAAGAAGTACATTAAACCGAAAGATATATGGATAGATTCCCCTGTAATTTGGCATATGATCAGAAGAGCAATTAGTTGCATTCACAGTAGTAGCATAATATAACAAAATAGTGCCGAACTCCTGCCCATATTTTCCATGAACAGACATTACATAGGTCCCTATTTGTGAATCCAACCATCGCGAACAAACATGCAATTCCAGGGCTACACAATCTGAGCCTTAAAGTGACAAGAAAAATTTACATTCCATCGTACCAAGAAACCCAGAAATGTGAGTAACGGAATCGAATTAAAAGGAGCCCAAATGACATTCACCTGTGATGAAGAAGACCCAATTGAGAAATCAGGGCTCTGGTTTTTTTACTGGAGCCTTACTGAAACAGTCGGCTTAGGAGACTGCGTGTGGTTATGTAGAAGATGATCATGAGGAAATCGGAATCGGGAAGAGAGACTGCGTGTGGAGAGCCGAGATACGGTTACCAGTGAGTGGGCGAACGTGGGAAGTTGGCGCTTCTTTGAATTGGCGAAGCGGCGGTTTATATTTGTTCTCACTCCTCTCTGCAGGATTTCAAAGAGTTGTCTGCTCCATATTTGACATTTTCCCTTTTTTTCCGAAGCAGCGAAAATATTGGCGAAGGAGAGCCAAACTACTTAACAGTCACTGAACTTAACAGGTTGTTTCAGAGTAGTCAGTAAACTTCAATTTTCAACATAATAAAATTTTGAATCTCCGATGTAACAATGACATCATTCAACTCGATAAAAATACTTTACATCAAGGCACTTGAACCTTAAAAGTTAAAACCAAGACGTGCAACTATACAAAAACTCGAGACTCTATCTAAGACAACCATTCTGATCTCCAACCATTATGTCATTCAGGAGAGATTAAGGACTCAACAAAAACCATTAATTCGACTTCCAAACAAAGGGGAAACGAAAGAACTACATATCAATGTACCGGGTGTTTAAATAATAACGTTAGTGGCTGGATTGCGCTAATTTTGGACAAAATTTCACCAAGAAACAGATACATACTACCAGCATGTCACTATTTTACCTTCCTCTCGAACTTAACAAACTTGTCTTCCGTATTAGGAGAGCCTTCCATAAAGTAACGAATCACTTGATAAGGTGTGTCAGGAGGCTCTTGTGGATACTGCACCCTCAGGGTTCTCAATCTGGTAAAAGGAGAGCCTTCACGCTCCATTAATGGCTTCATGCGAGTAAAAGGAAATAGGTGTTTTTCCCAAGGATAACGGCCGCCCAACTAGTTATATGGAGACAAGATCATCATCAATGGTGAGTTAGTTTCTACTTTCAGTGGTTTGTATATGAATTATGATCGTAGGAAGTAAACATATTACATACTTTGTCAAAACGTAGGTTGAGAGATGTTGCATTATGCAGCTCACGCAACAACTTCATATATCTCTGCTCCTCCTGTTTTGCAATGGATTGCTCCCTCCAAGGCTGGATTCCACACCACCCCATGCGGATATTCGCGCAATCCAAAGTAGGAAGGCTCAGCTTGACGAGCTGTAGGATCCAACCCTTATAAGAGAAAGATTCCAGCTTTGGAGCAAAAACTTCGATTTCCTCGTCGTCCCAAGTCTTCTTTTGAATCTCGAGGTGCAGCAGCTGGAGTCCCGATACTTTCAACAAGTGACGTCTTGACGATTTGCATTCAATGAGTTTGAGGTTGTTCAAACAAGGGATATCTCCGAAAGGGTCAACTGTTTCCCCCCAAGAACGAGAAAACCAACAGCCACGCAGTTCAAGAGTCGTCAGTGAGTTGAATCCCAAAGCAAGTGCTTCTCTCCGGAGTACTGTTGATTTCAGCTCAATAGTTTTGAGAGACTTGTGATGGCGAGCCGTGATGCATGGTGCCAGTTTGCTGAATTTGATGTCGTGGTACGCATGGGCAATGGACAAACGGCGAAGATTGTGGCCTGTAGTAGTAGAACCATGAGAGGCAGCAGAACTCATGATGCTGTCAAAAACCTGCAATCCCGTTTGAGGTTGTCCTCCAGCTGAACACCCCCAAAAGTTAATGGAAATGTCGGTAATAGCCGCAGAGTTGGAGCGGAGAGTCAAAAACTTGTTGACTTGTTCAGAGAAAGAGGACATGTTGCAGGAGGAGGATTTTCTGAAACTGAGAACGGGAACATCTTTCCACAAGGACCTCCACCTCTTGGACAGGAGGCTGGTTCGAATTAACGATCTGGTGTCGGCGATGAACGAGAGGATGTGGTGCACAATGTGGTCAGGAACATCACGGAATCTGTCGATTTCTTCTCGGATGCCATGGCTTCTTTTGGGTTTTTTCTTGGAGCCCTTTGAGTTCCCAGCTGCCATATCCTCTCTTACGCTATCTTGTGCAAAAAGGAATGATCACAATCAAGTAGTCTATCTGAAACTGAAAAATACCAATGCAATCAATCTATTGTTATCATTCATATAGTTGTTGTTGCTGCAGACAAAACAATCAAGCGAAGTGAATGCATATTGAAACATAATCATCATCAGTCATCACTGAGAGCTAAACATTGTTTTCTCAAAGTGACCACCATGGGAAAAGGAGGAAAGCTTAATGTCACCACCAAACCAGAAAATGAGAGAGCAAAAACAGTTGCTGCAATTCCATCACACTAGTTAGAACACTAATGGAAAACCCAAGATGGGAAACAGAGAGAGCAAGAACACACATCATAAGGTATAAGGGGTCATTTCAGTTCATCGAACCAACTTGAACACTAATTGACATCTCCCAATCTACCTCAGCGATCGCCCACAAGAACAACAAAGGTGGAGACTTTTCTTCACCAATAATCCATGAATGGATCTAATACAGTACTAGATATGGAGAAAGGATGCAGACGAGAAAAAGAAAACCCTAACAAGAATCCAATCCTGCATTACTTGTTTGGAGCGGTAGTGGGTCGATTCAAAGATATCATGGGAGCGGAAACCTTTGAATTCCCAGAGCCAGGGGATTGATTGTACACTCTGGCAAACCCTAACTGCGGGGTTAAGTTAACTGTGAAGCCTATAACGACGGGATTTGTATACACTAGAATCAGGAAGAAATCAGAACTCTTTCCTTTTCCGACTAAAAATGACATACCGGTCTGCCAAACTTAACCGACTTTCAACCTGCGGTGACCGTCGGCTTGGCGCTAAAGTTTCCAGTGTCACACTACTCGGCTCACCGGAGGCGAAGAAGCAAGTGGCAGATGAGGAAGAAGCAAATGGCAGATGAGGCGACACTATTCTCTGTTACCTCAAAACGACGGGTAGCGATTGGAGGATGCAGCACAGGGGAAAGCCAAGTTCGCAGCAGGAGCGCGACTTCCCAACGAGATCATCGCTTCCCTGCGGGAGGTAAAATGGCGGAGCTCCAGTGGGCGAGAATGGTGGAGAATATGGTCAAGCAAGATTGGGAAATTAAAAGACTGCATTGCCGTAGAAGTCAGTGTGGCTTTAGCCTTTAGGGTTGTTGATTTTGAGCTGATCAAGGATCCATGGAAAGAAAAGGTGATCACGTTTGACAATCAATTTAAATGAATTTTTTTGTGACCCTATAAAAGGACTATTTTGATAAAAATCAATCAATTCTTATTTCTTAACAATGTCGTTCCAAGATATAATCGGAAAGTGAATGTAGTGAAGAACTCGTCGAACATCACGTTACAATCTTAAGTCTCTTGTCAAATTCATAGATTGATGAGAGGAGAATGTAGTATCAAGGAAGAACAAAGAGAAGCTGGAAAGAGGAACTCGAAACTCCATAACTGAGAATGTCCAGTCTACCAAGTTTACCAACCCTTACTCGTGTAACCGACTAACGAACTCAACTAACCGCAACTAACTCAGTGTATGTGGAAACGACTCTGTTTCCCTCGATAGCTCTGATGTCTGGGTTAAGATTTCAGTTCAACCTTCTGGGGTTCCAATTTCACCAGCTAAGAATGCAAGCAACATCACCAGAATAAACCAACCATTTTCCAAAGCTAACAAGAATAGAGCCGCACTTCTCAGCTTGAAGGGAAAATATAAAACAAAACAAAAGGATCCCGCTGAATCATATGCTAACATGAGTTCCTTACTGATAATCAGAAAGGAAGTAGCAGCATAGTTGGTCTACACATTAGAGCACTGCACCATCTAATTTCCTCTGCATCCTGGGTCAATAATGCAGAAGCAACTACACAGAAGTAGCAGAAGTTCTTTACGTGGCTGCTATTTCAGCATGGTTGTGTCTGGTTAATGAGCAAAATGCAAAAAATAATCATGCCACCATCAAACATCCCTAGATTCCTAAGTCAATGCCTTACCTACACAGTATCAGCCTACGTGAACACAAACTAGGACATAGTCAGCCACTCTGTGCATTCTTTCCAGCCAACAGGAAAGTCGCAAAATAAACATTTCGGGATGACCAGATGAACAGCAACATATCTCATCATCCAATTTCTCTCCTCCTGGGATCATGGTTGCCATGCATTCAACTTGAGAGTATGACTAGTACTAGTTTTGATACCATTTGAAGCATTAGTACTGCTTGTCAGTAACCAGCTCAAGCTGAAATAACTTTTCTTCCGTACTAAGAGAGCCTTCAAAAAAATAGCGAATCACTTCATAATGTATGTTCGGCAGTTTCTCTAGACCCACAAATTGCATCTTCAAGGTCTTCAACCTGGTAAAAGGAGGGGTCTCAGGCTTTATTAAGGCCTTGATTCTGTTAAGAGGAAAGTCGCCTTCTTCGTCAAGACCATATATGGCCTGATATGAAAACACAATAATGTATCAAAATCACACTATAGGCATTGACTAATTAGGATTGCAAGCACTTAATTAAACACTAAAATAAAGACTGGGTATGCATAAGTCACTATCACCGTGAAACTGTAAACTGACATTGGCTTTATTGAAATGCTAAAGTGTCCTTGCAAAAAGCAGCCAGTTCGTACCTCGTCGAAATGTAGCAGGAGACACTCTACATTCCGAAGAGCACCCAAAAAATCCATATATCTACGATACTCCCCTTTCAGTTCTGCATAACCATATGGTATGTCCGAAACAAGACGGATATTCGCATGATCAAGAGCTGGTAGATTCAATTTGGGAACGTATGGATCATAGTCATCACCAAGTAGATATAAAGATTTTAGCTTTGGAGCAATCACTTCATAAATGCCGAAGCTTGAACGCTTAATTTGAAGGTCAAGCAACTCAAGTCCCGATATTATCAATCCAATTCCAGTGCCTTGACCAGATACACTACAGCAGACTAACTTCAGGTAGTTTAGACAAGGCAGATTACCAAACGGATCAAAGGGCTCTCCTGTAGAACAAGGCTTCAGGAGACAATCAGACAGTTCAAGAGTTGTAAGCAATTTGAAGTGCGAATCAAATTCCCTCTCGAAAGTGAATGTCCCCAGCTTGAGTGTCTTGAGAGATTCTTGATGATGAGAAGCAGTGATGACATTGGTCACGTCTCTGATGCTGAACTTCAATTCGTTATAAATGAAGGACAAATGGTGAAGACCACCACCACCACCATGAGAGCCAGCGTGTTTCACGATCTTCTCAAATGTTTTCATAGCACCTGCCCACTTATCCCCGCGTATATTGAAGGTAATGCTGCTAACAGGGACACTACGGTAGCGGGTAGACAAGATCCTGTGTACGTGCTTTGTGAAACTCGACAAGTTAGGGAAGGACCTCTGGACAAAGTTGAGGACGGGAACATGTTTCCACAACGATCTCCACTTCCTCGACAGAAGGCTTGTTCGGACTAAGGATTTGGTGTCGAGGAATGAGAGAATGTGATGGATAACATTGTCAGGAAGACGGCTTAGCCTGTCAACTGCATGGCTCCTCTTGAGTTTCTTGGACTCTCTAGAATTCCCATCCATTATCGTCCTCCCTTACTCCAAAACATTTGAAATCACAACCAGGGAATAGCAAAGTTCAATCATTTACATATGGTGAAATCACGAGAGACAGCATGCTACAATTTCTATACTGGGTATTGCTCAGCAACCCGCCTCTTCTCCGGAATCGAATTAAACAAATGGCATGGTAAAGAAGCCAGATATGAAGAAATCCAAGTGAGAACCTAGGGCTTACAGGACAGTAGTACGACAGTCAGCTATAGCGCCAATTAGAAGATAACGAAGAGGCGTACCTGGAGCTCTATAGCAATGGCGGGAGGAACAGGAATCGGGAAATGTTTCCGGGCACCAATGACCAAACCATGCACAAGCAACGATCACAAATTGGGGGAAAAGCGACGGTGTGAAACTGTGGTGACTGGAGCGAGTTCTCCTGCCCTTGTCATCTTATAGTTAGGGTCAATTATATAAATGGTCACTTGACTTTTGGGTGACAAAATTGTGATTCTTAACAAAATAGTCATTCAACTTTACACTAACCTACACTGTTGTTTTGATTAATGAGTAGTTGTATTCCACTGAAAAGAGGAGGGGTCACAAAGAGTGGACTAACTACAAAATACAACCGAACGGAATACGAAGAAAAGAAGAAAGACAACAGAAGCAAGGCTAGTAAAAACAAGTAACTAGCTCAAGGAGGGTTGGAAATTGGAATGGAGGAATGAAGTTGTTTCCAAAGAACTTGGAGTGAAGAGCATAACTTCTTTTAGTGGAGATAAGTTTATGAACCATAGTGAGATTGCAAACTGTTCGACTAATAGTGTTGGTGGAATTGTAAACATTGTGAGCTACGTCCTGAAAGACTCTGAGGGGTCGTTTGGATCAGGAAATTGATTTTGAGAGATTTTTCAAGGATTTGAGCTCAAATCTCTGATTTAAAAACCTAGATAATTTTAATGAGGAATTTGTGCCAGTTAACTTGTTTGGTAATACATGAGGAATTTTGGCTCAAAATGTGTAAAGACCATTTTACCCACTTATCTTCTTCCTCCTCTCCCGATATCTGCTTTCTGAACGAAACATTGACGGGAAGGCCGGCGACCTTGATAATTTGGCGACCGCCGGTGACTTCGTTAATTGCCAGTGAACTCGCGGAGGACCGGCGACTATGCTAAGGCTGGTGAACTCACTCAATCCGGCAAAGGAACGCCTTGAACCCATTCGACGGAGAGCAGCGCCGGTGAGCATCAGAACTAGAGACGTAGAGCGGCGGCGGTGAGAATCAGATCTGGGAGATGTTCGCTCACTCTCCTCTTTCTCGACTCTCATCGTCGCAAAGAACCAGAGATGAGAGATGTGGCTGCGCCGCTAGCTCTAGATTTGCCTCCCTTCCCCTCTCTTCGTCGTCGATGGGACCCAGAAATCGATGTCGGCTTCGGCAGGAGCTTGGAGTCTGCGGCAGTTTTTGCGAGATGCCCATGATGAAATACCCGAAACAGCCCACCTAGAAAATCCCTCTATCGATTTGAGGAGATCCCCCAAATCAGGCCGCCATTGTTGTTGTAGATCGGAGCTAGTCAACTCCGTTGAAATAGCCAACGATGAGCGTCGTAGCCTTGCGAGCTTGCTTGATCTCGTATAGAGACAGAAAGGAAGAAGGGAAGGATCGTAAGGAGGAACTGGGATAAGAGGGGCAGAGATTGGGAAAAAAATTAAATAAGATGAGGGATTTAGAAATACTTGGGGGTAATTAGCTATTTCAAATTTCTTCAACATCAGGGTTTTCAAAATTCCTATTGCTAAAATACCTAATTCTTTTATTCCTATCCAAACGCGGGATTATGATAAAATCCCTAATGACTAGAAATTGTGGTAGAATCCTTGCACAGATTCCCTAATCCAAACGACCCCTGAAGTTTTTTCGATCCACTGCCAAAATCTACACATAATATAATACGCCGAAGGGAAAAATGGGAGCCCCATTTCAAATTTCCTGCAACGCGAGTGAAAGTAAGGACATTTTGGTCTTCACAATTACTTTTTTTTATTCATTAAAAACATAGGTACTGGGATTCGAACCATGACCATTTTAAAGAAAGGAAAGGATCATAACCAATCACACTAAATACATTTGTTGTATCCTTGTAAATTAAAAACATATAATAGCAGGGTGGAAAAAACTCTTCCCCCATTTCAAATTCCCTACTCCAGAAGCGTTTGTAGGAAGGGTAGAATAAGGAGTGTCAATTTTTTTTATCTTTCCTTTGTGGAACGGGCCAACTTACCATACACATGCGGATTTAAACGGGTCCATGAGTGTCAATTTTTTTATTTATACCCTTTCATTTCTCCGTGGTGATAAAATATATATGAAAAGGCAAAAATAATACTCCTTTTTATTGTTAAGAATAAAAAATTTAACAATAAATTAATGCATGGTATCTAATGGGCTAACCGCTAACCATAAAATAAAAGAGTTGAATGGGCCTGACCTACATGGGATTTGACCATCAAGTAAAACAAATGAACATCATTGGTTTGTCATTCTAAAACAAGCTATTTTCTCTGGCATAATATATATTATGCTATTATTTTATATCTTACTGGCTAAAATATAATGTATTTTAAAGTTATTCAGTGGTTCAACCTCGACCAACCCAATTAGTCCAATTTTTATCATTTCAAATATATATTTTATAATCATTTGACATCATAATGATCAAATTATAGTGTATTTTATAGGAAATCATTTGGTATTTGTTAGTAAAAAACTAAACTTAAAGATCTATTTGGTTATTTTAAACATTAAAACGATCCTAAACATTTTCAGTTACTTTTGAATTTCTGGTTTTATTCCCGAATAAGTGATGTGCAAATGGCGAATTGTAGTCGTCTCTTTTCTTTCACTATTTTTTATTTTCAAATAGAAAGTTTAAAAGTAAAGAATAATTAGAATTTGGCATGGGTCGGTCAAACAGGCTGAATTTCAATTTTTGGCCCGTTTGTTTTATGCATTGCAAATTTATTAGCATGTTGATGGAAATGGCTTGGAAAAAAGACATATAAGTTGTACCTTTGCAGAAATGTCCTCAAATGTTTGAATGCTTTGTGAATCAGGTTCCGTGACTTTTGTGATGGTGTATGTGCTTGACGATTGCTAGATGTTGTGACTACTTAATTTGAGAGTAAATCTTTTGATTTTCCCTATGAGTTGTGATACCAGTTCTGGTGGTTGCAGCATGTTGTCATTGTTGGCTTGTAAAAGTTGTTCCGCCGTGATGCTAAATACCTTTTTTTTTAACAAATTGTGTAGTAGTGCTATGAAACAGACCACCCATGAACGCTACGCTTATTATGGTCTGTTCTTACTTCCTGTGGTGAGAAATTGTGAATTGAGAATCATATTCGCCTACCGCACTGTGTCTGGCTGGTGGCTGCTTACTGTGCTCTCTAGAGTTATGAAACAGACTACCCATGAACGTTACCCTTAAGAGTCGATAACTTTGCGAAAAACCAAATTTAGGCAATCAAAGATGGTGGATGTGTGATGATTTTTTATGGCTTAATTGTTTGTGAATTGGATATCTGATCTTTGTATGATAATAGGGGATGTTTGCTTAATAGAATAATCCATTTTAATTCATGTTTATTTTTAACATGAACTTTAGTAACTCAAAACCTTCGAGACACATATCACCACTGCATTGTATCATTTTGCCTGGGTGCTTGCTGTGTTGTCAAACTTCTTTGCTGCTGCTGCATTTACACTAACAGGGGAGTTAAGAACCTATGAATGTTTCCGTTTGACACAAACAAGAGGACTTACTTCTAAATCGTGCACTAAAGATGATTGGAGGAAACATCTCTGTTGCAGTTGATATGCTGGAGACCATAACAAAAGCAACGTATAACATCAAAACCAACCATCTGAACTATTAGCATTGTTGCTTTACTCTTTTTTCGTGGTTGAGTCTCCTTCAAAATATTTAGTTTGATCTTAGAAAATTTTGCTTCTGCAGTCCTGTCTTGCCACCAACGCGTTTAGTAGATGGATATGGCAGAGGAGAAGGCTATTTTTGTGTTGTTGTTGCTGGTTTAGGGATCGGTTTGTGAAGAAGAGGGAGAAGAGAGGGGGAAAGGGAAATGCAGGAGAGGGGGATAACTCTTTTCTCCGACAAAAATGGAGTGAAGAAAGGAATTATGATCAGTAAGGATATGGTTATCTTACATAACGGTCTATATTCTGTTTGAATTGAGATTGGGAGGCAGTGATAAGGACGAGCTGCAACCAATTCATAGTGATAAGAGTGCTATGAACTGTGATCAAGTCTTATTTCAAGTTAGAAGGTAGTTTCAGTATAAGGATTATTTAATTTGACAAGTTGTTTTGTCCATGATTCTTGGTAGTTTCAGGGCCATTCTAGCCATTGTTTAGTCTGTAATTTTTGAGAATTGATGTGCGAGTAATCACTTTCACTTAGCTTCAACTATTATGTGTGTATTTATTGGCATGTGATAGAATTCTCTTTTCATTTTCTTTGAATTCAGTTTCATACTCTAATTGTATCATTTTTACATAGGCAAATCATGCTCGAGATGACAACTCGCTGATATGGCTGGTGCAAGGAATGAAGCCATCATTAGAATTCAGACTGACAACGGGGAGGGATGCCCAGGACTAATTCAATGATGATTGATGATGGTATAATACAAACTGCAGTCTGCATCAGCACCAATTTCTAGGCTAAGTTATTCAACCCAGAACTCTGTTTAGCGCTAAAAATTGCCTTCACCCAACCTTGATCCTGTTTGACCCACTTTTGAAGAGTCAACATATATGACTAATCCTCTCCGTTCGTATTTTCTTATTGACTCTTTCTGACACTTTATGTTGGGGCGGGTCGGGAAGAATCGGATTAGTGGGTCGGTCCTAATCAAGTGGAATCCCAATCCCTTCACTCTCACTTGCTTTCTCTCCCATTCCACAAGTGGGTAACATACAGTAATCCGGCCAACGGGCCGGGTAATAAGCTAGTATGATTAAGGGCAGCAAGTTGACTGCTTTCCAAAAGCTAAAGCCCCTTGAAAATTGCTCCATTCAATAAGAATATCTGCAATGTTTTGGGTCTTGGACCTTGCAGATGTATACGATAGAAAAATAAGTTCCGGATGTGACTTGCATAGGTGCAATGAAGTAGTAAGTGA